TTAGATATAATATGTATTTTAAATTGAATCACTTTAATCTCTTATACTTGTAATCATATTGTTATTCAACTTTCATCCATCATCGTTTGCTATATAACTAACATTTTTTATCTCTATTTCTTCTTTTCGTTTTAGTTTTTTTCAAAACTAACAAAATTCAACTTAAAACTTCAAATGATGTTGGTGATTTGGGGGCATGCATGGAGAAAGTGATGGTCTTCACTGTTCATCACCCCGTTGTTCTTGCAATCATCCTAGAACTAGACCCCAATGCTCAAATCACAGTAGGCCTAACCACTCTCTTTTAGCAGCCCATTATAAACAATCCAAACTGGACTGGTTTCAGAGAACGCTTCCCACGCAAAAGTCTACAAGTGATTTTGGATTTATCGTGTCGGGAATCACGTGGTTGTCCTGTTTGATGAGTTGAACAGTTTGAATTTGATTCGGTTAAAATTTTATAAGAACTTGACTTTGATTGATTCGAATCTAAACCTTAAAGAGCCAAATCAAGAAAAATTTAACTCGACTCGATAAGTTCGTGAACAACTCATTAACTTTTTTTTAACTTTTTAGTAGTTATCTTAAAAAATTATTTCATTCAAAAAATTATTAATTTACTAATAAATAATAAAAAAGATTATAAATTACTAATATATTAATTTGCTATACACAAATATCAAACCCTAATTTTAACGAGCATCGAGGCGAGCAACGAACTTAATGAGCTTAACGAGCAACAAATCGAGCAACAAATTTTATTAGCAAGCACGAGTCAAGCAAAATTTTAACGAGTTTAATGAGCAATAAGTCGAGCAAAAATTTTTCTTAATGAGCACGAGTTGAGTAAAATTTTAACAAGCTTAATGAGCAACGAGTCGAGTCGAGTCGAGCAATAAATTTTTTTAACGAGCACGAGTAGGGAAGGAAATGGATCCTGGACTCGACCCGAATTCATAGATCCACATCCATTTTATAGGGTGTGAATCCTAAAATTTTGGACCCAACGGATCAGAATCGAATATGGATCCTCTAATTAAAGCACAGATCCGGTATTGGATCTGACACTAAGATATCTAGTCTGGACCCGTTTATAGAAAAGTCCACCTTTAGTTTTAAAGAAAATATATAAATGACATAACATGTTTTAACATATATATAAACATTTTATAAAGGGAGTCGTCTGAGTTCTTATAGGGTTGAGTTTTAATAGGTTTTAAACTAAGCTTGCGATAATATAATGTTTAATGGTCTATATTTTTTTAATGTTTGTGTTATTCAAAAGACATTCCTATAATTGTGTTGGATTTTTTTTAGATTTTAGTTTATCATTTTTTTTGTTTTGTTACTAGTTGGATTGAAATTAATCTTTTCTCCATTGGAGATGTGATGTGAAATTAGTCAATGACAACTTTATTACGTTAAAAATAGGTTGAATGGTTTTTTAACATACTCGTTTTGGACCCAGATTCGTGATATTCGTTGGATATGGATTTAGGTTTCAATTTTCTAGGCTCATGGATCCGGGGCGAGTCTAGATCCAGGATGTATAAATGGGTTTGGATCTGGATCCTGTCAAAATATGGCCCGTTATTATCCCTAAACACGAGTCAAACACTGTCCAACTAGCAACCGACTCGCTCGATAATCACCCTAGTCCCAAAAGCACATTTTGAGAAGATAAAATGGATTGTAGACAGTGTTAGAGCCTAAACCTTTATCACTTATAGAGATGTAAAAATTGACCCGACCTGCAAAACTGATTGAAATCGACTTGAGTTAAAATTGTTTATGACCCGAGGTAGTGGTAATCCGAAACCGATTCGATTCTGAACTGGTGTTGACCTGAACCCGAGTTAGACCTGGAAATTTACAACCTACACCCGACTTGAACCCGAATTGAACCTGATAATGTGATAATCAAACCTGACCTGCACCCCGACCTGATATGAACCTGAACCCGACATAAACCCGGAAAATAACTGATATTACTCGACCTGTTATCAACTTGACCTGTAATAAACGTAATATGTAATTGACTCAACTTGTAAATGATCTGACCTATTATTAAATTGAATTGATATTTACTTGACTTATAATTTACAATTGATGAAGTTGTGAGATTTTGAATTTATAATAAACTATGATAATTAATATGATTATTTTTTAAAAGTTAAAACAAATAGTTAGTTATGATAATTTTTTTGACAATTAAATAAACTATGATAATAATATGAATATTCTTTAAAAGTTAATATAAATTATTAGTTATGATAATTAAATTAATAAATTTACTTTCTATATTAATTATAATCTTTATATTATAAATCTTAATTATAATCAGTAAATTAATTTCATTAAATAATTTATTTATTAAACATGATTTTATTAGATTATATAAAATTAATTTAAATATTTATAAGTTAAATTTATTTATATGTATTAATTAATTAATAATTTAAATATAGTTTAACTTAAAATTTTAAAATATATTCAGAAGATTAATTTACTTGAGATTGAAAATTTTAAAATTTAAAATTTAATGATCAATTTAAAATACAAAAAAATAAACTTATAATATGTATATATATATATTTACATGAGTGGTGGGAGAACTTTTTAAAATAAAAATTGTTTTTTAGAGAATAATTGATTGTTTAGAAATTTAGAAGAAGAAATTTTTAGATTTTGACAAATTGAATTATTTTTTTTGTTAAAATTTAGAAGAGGGAAAATTGATTTTTTTTTTGGAATTCAGAAAAGGAAGAGAGAAATTTTATTTTTTGACAAATGTTGGTGACTTTTTTAATTCCCAATAGATTTTTTGGGTTAATTAGAAATGTGATCCTCTAACAATCAGTGGTTTTCTATTTTGTAATTTAATTTGTCATTTCTTTCATTTTAGTCATGGTCTAATTATAAATCTTTTCTTGAATTTTTCAATTCAATGCAATTTAGTAGTGTATACATTCTAATTACTTTTAATTTTCCCTTCTTTCTTTAATGTGAACAATTATTAAATATGAATATTAATTTTAGAATCTTTTATTTTAGTCACTTATGTTTAATGATATATATATATATATATACACACATACACTTATATATATATATATATATATATATATATATATATATATATATATATATATATATATATATATATATATATTATACTTTATACTTATATATTTATATATTATATACATACCTATATAGATACTTATATATATATATATATATATATATATATATATATATATGTGTGTAATTATATATATATATATAGGTATAAGTATACATATGTATAAGTATATATATACTTATAAGTATAATATATAGTTATATATATTATATATTTATATAAGTATATATTTATAATGTATGCATAACATTATATACACATACATTATAGTGTACATTATATATACATGCATTATCATATTATCATAACATTCATCATACATATTATATATATAATATATATTAAAATTGATTTAATTTTTTCCTTAACTTTAAAATAAATGCAATTCAACCCATTTTTATATTAATTTTAGTTTCATATTTTACAATTATTTTGGATTTGGTCCCTACATGTTGTGTAATTTATTTTAATTTTAATTTTAATTTCTTATTTATTCAATTTAGTCCTTAAAATTTTATTTTATATGAAATTGGTCCATACTTATTTATATTTTTATAATTTACTTCAATTTAGTCATTAAAATTATATTTGTATATGAAATTGGCTCATACTTATTTATATTTTGATTTGATGCCTCATACATTCTTGTTGTTTAATTTATTTAAATTTTTGTATGTAATTTCTTTTTTGTTCAATTTAGTCCTTAAAATTATATTTTTATTAAAATTGACTCACAATTATTTATATTTTTTGTAATTTACTCCACATCATATAAAATTAAAAATTAAAATTCATCTTTCAAGAAAAAAGAAAAATAATTAACCCGAAAATGACTCGACCTGAAGTCAATTTGTGCCTGGTAAGGTCCAACCTGAATTTTGTCTATTAATGATGTGACTCGATCTGAACGAGATCCTACTTGAATTCTATCCGAACCTGAATTAACTTGGAATTTAACTAATTTGGACCTGAACTGACATCAATCCGAATTAAAATTAACCCGATCCAAACCCGAACTGAATATGAAGGTAAAATCAACCTAAAAATAACCCGAAATGATTTGATTTGGACTTGATATAATCCGAGTTAAACCATCAAATTAACCTAATACGATTTGTATCTAATTTAATATGATTTGATAGGACTCAATTGAAATCTGAATGATTACATGATTTAACATCCCTAATCACTAGAACCTTGTAACAAAACAACTCATAGCCATAAATAGAGCAGCACCAGGGATGTCTTAAGTGCGACAAACTTAATATACGACTAAGAAAATGCACTACCGAAACTGTTAATATTTTTTAATATTTCCGATAAAACACTACTTAAAATATTATTTTTTACCAAAAATATTAATATTATACGTTGCCTAAAATGTTTAACATTTACGGTAATGCATTATCTAAAATATTTTTTTTACTAAAAATATTAATATTAGGTTTTACCGATTAATTAATGAAATTAATATTTTTAATAAAAAATAATATTTTATATAGTATTTTATCAGAATGTTAAAAAAATAATATTTTCAATAATGCTTTTATATTAAAACTGCGGTATAGCAGAACTACTAGCAGCGGTACCTGTTAAGTTTTTATTGTAGGTTGGAGATCCTAGGTCTCCAGTGAATATATATAACATATGTCACCGCCCCTCTTACAATCCAACGGTCTTGGATCGAAACAAAAGGGTCTTGAGACTTGAGATCCTGACATCCAACCCCCTACTCCAACGCTGATTGCGTGCCTAGACGCCACGTGGAAGACGATACTCTCACTGTTCTACGCCTATCAAGTGTTCATAAATAGACAAACTTCTGATTTCCATCAACCTTATATGAGGGCTTTTACTGTTGGGAAACTGGAAACCATGAAAACTTTACCAACCTCATCTTCCAAGTCCATCATTTACATGCGTAAAGATGGAGGCTTTTCTTCTTCTTTTAAGGATCTTTCTCGCAACAGAGCTCAACTATCTTTTTTCCCTTCGAAAGATGTTGTTGGAATCCGGTTCTTGCATCTTCTTTCACTGCAACCCAGGCGTCTTCACCCTGTTCTTTCAACTCTTTCTTCCTCACCAGACTCACAGGCATGTACCCTTCATCCCTTTGTGTTTTTTTTTTACTGATTCTTGAATGGTCTTGGTTTTTGCAAACTGCAATTCTTGTTCTAATTCTAATAATTATATGGTTCCTTTTACATTTCCTTTTGTATAGGTGGACTTGGGGAATATAGAAACTCAACCTGAACAAGAAAGTAAGATCTTTTAGCCCTTCAACTATTTGTCTTTTGTTGATGTTTCTGGAATTTTGAGTCTTATCTTCAATCCCCTCTAATGCACAGTTCCATCCAAGACTATTAATGTCAAATTCCAGTTACAGAAAGAGTGTTCCTTTGGAGAGCATTTTTTCGTTGTAGGGGATCATCCTATGTTAGGGTCATGGGACCCAGAAATTGCTGTACCACTGACTTGGTCTGAAGGACATGTTTGGACGGCAGAGCTGGTAAGGAGGAATTTATGAAGAATATTTTGTTGAAACTTGCAAAGGTTAAGAGATTTCTTGTTTTGAACTTGCTCAGGACATACCTGTTGGAATATCTATCCGATTCAAATTCATTCTCAAAACTAGCACTGGGAAACTTTTGTGGCAACCGGACCCTGACCGGATATTCGAATCCCGCGAAACCAAGAATATCATTATTGTTTGTGAAGACTGGAAAAAAGCTGAAAAACAGAAAGTCATAGAGGAAGAGCCGATAGCTAATCGAGATGGACATCTTCTTGATTATGAGATGGCAATTGTTGCAGAAAACTTGACACCTCCAAAGGAAGAACTAGTCCTTGAGACAAATCCCACCTCTCCTGCAAAGGAGCAATTACAAGCATTATCTGATGATGAATCAGCCACTGGTGATGATGATCCTTCACCAGAGAAGCCCTTGGCTATTGTTGCAGAGAATATTACAGGAGACTTGATTGCAAATGCAGATAACGCAGTATTCGGTTCGAATAAAACTGACTACCCCAATGATGAAGCTTCGGATGTTTCGAATAAGAATGTTTTGGTAGCAGAAGACTTTGGAGATGCTGATAAAGAAGAAACTGCCGATGCCGAGGGAAATCTGGTAGCAAATGAAGGTAATCCTCCCCTAGTGCCTGGCTTGAGTCCATTAGCAACAATGTCAGCTGAAGAATCGATGGTGAGTGAAGATGAGAAGATTAGTACAACTGATGCATCAGTTGAAGTTAATGAAGCTTTAAATCACAAATTGTCCGGCGAGGTAATCGCCTGAGGAGTGTGTTGCTCTGCCCTTCCTTTTTTTTTTGTCCTCTCTTCCAATGCTGTTAAGACATTCCATGCTAGCTTGTATCTTCTTGAGATGCTGTAAAATAAGCAATGCTGCTCTTTTAATCCCTCATCAATGAAGTATTGCACATTGTTCGAAATGTTCTATCAATATCAATGTTGCATTTTCCAGTTATTCATATATATATGAAGCTCCAAATGTAAAAGATAAACTTCACTGCTTCATCAATTACTTGCTCCTTTGACAATCTATGATGCTTTGATATGTACCTGACAATGATATGTCATTCTCCCCTTGCAAAATTTGCCATGGTTGTTGGTATTGCTGCTTATATTTTCATGTCTTTTCCTTTTCAATCATATTTTAATGCCGACATGATAATATTCAGTCAGAACAGAAGCTAGAACCCGAAGGTAAACCACAGGATGAAGAAACAATAGCGGTAGCTAAGGACGATGAGGAACAGCTCAACCATCATATTCTGGAACCCCTGGCAGCCGAAAAAGAAGAACCCGATCCGGAGCCTTTTCGAAGCAACATGTTGCAAAGCGATGACCAATGGGGCCGTAACACATTGCAGAAGCTTCTCAGTGGTTTAAGATTTCTGTAGCTCATTTAGACTATATAGTCTCTGAAGTATGAATGCTCATTGCCATGCTTCGATTCTGTTAGATGAGAGGGTTAGAGACTGGTACTGCATTAGTGCTGTTAGTATGTACATACAAATATTGCTTCCATTTATTTTGATATGTTCGTCTATGGTGTGTGCTCGAATTTAGAATGCTAATGACAGTCACTCTCATAGAGGCAAAACTAAAAGTATTTTTTTTGTCCCCATGACCCCCTCATCAATCAAAGTTAAAAGCAAATATTTATTTCACACTAATATCCACAATTGCAAAACCAAAAGGAATTACATTGAAATATTGAATGTTATGCTGCATCATTTCTGCAATCAAAGATAAGCAGCATGATGAGGCAAGTCATCCCTTGCAAATATTTTACATGACATATGCTATTATTTCCTTTCCATAGCGATTTGCTTGGAATGATTCTCATATAGTAGCTTGAACTAATATGGTTGTGTTCATATTCATATGTTTGTGTTCATTTGTTTAATGTTTGTTTTTATACTCTTTTATTATTCAATTAGCATTCACAAACATATTCATTTGCAAGCTAAAAATTACACAACCAATGCTTAAACCCCTTAAGCTTCATAGGTTAAACTCCAAATTTCATTATGTGTTCAATTTAATTCCTACATTCATCAATATTTAAAATGTAAAAAAAAAAGTAAATGAATTTGTTCATGAACATAAACGAACGACTAAATAAACGAGTTTGTTCCATGAACATAAACAAGTCAAACACACTTGTTCATGTTCTTTTGTTTTTACTAAATGAACATAGTAATTTTGTTCATACTTGTTTGTTTTGCTAACAAATGAACATAAACGAACGTTCACAAATAGTTCACTGAAAGTTCTGTTTGTTTACACTCCTATTATAAGAGAAAATGCATTATTTTTGCTTGGTAAAGGCATGCAATTTTTATTTAGTTGATTGAATGACATATATGTAATAAAATATAATTATTAATCAACTATTATTGGTTTAGTGAGATAAGACATTAAATTTTTAAACAAGATCACGACTTTAATCATGAATATAGAAAATTAATTTGGGATGGTCTTTTGCGACGAACGCTTGATCCTATGCTAGGGACAAGCTTCTAAAATTTTAGGGCGCTGAATTTATAGAACTCAAATGGGAAAAAACATATTATCAATAGAATATATGAAGAAAATATCTAAAATATATGATAATTTGAGTTTTTAGGAAGAAATTGTCATGTCTGCTTCCCTTCGGTCCATCATTGTTTCATGTAACAAGCCTTTACAATATTTAATTCAAATTAATCAATCAATAAATCAAATATTCATACTTATAAAAAAAAGTTATAATTACACACTCATTAAATTAAATATAACTAGAACATCCAATTATATTCAATCAAGTCGGACTTATCATTTATAATGGTGACTTGTTTGATTACGAGCTGTTACACTTAAATTCAATCAATTGGTAACTTAACAAACACATCCCATGTAAAAATGCATTTAATTTATGGGTAAAATACATTCCAAGCCACTTAATTACGCGTTTAATGATAAATATTTTTTTTGTTAAAATTAAAATGATTGAATTGATATAACTTTACTATAAAACGAAAGACTATGAGGTAATTAATAGCATTCTTAGCTGAAATTGTGGGATGTTATAATATTTTTACAACATAGATAGAAGGCACATACAAAGACTACATTAGAGCAAGCAAAATCTAGTCAAATGCAAAGGGCATGGATCATGGATGTGTTTTTCAAGAGGTGAAGGTGTCGATAATGGTAGTGTGAAGAGGGTCACTCAAGTGGGTAGCCCAGTTGTTGAGAGGACCTTTGCCGGTGGCAGCAGCTTGGACTGCGAAACCCAGGAAAGCAACCATGGCGAGGCGAGCATGCTTGATCTCTGCCAGCTGAAGGATGGCCTTCTTCTCCGGGTCTGCGGCCAGCCCAAGTGGGTCGAAGAACTTTCCTCCTGGGTACAGCCTCTTTTCCGGGTCGAGCTCCGCGTTCCTTTGGAACTCGATGTATCCGATCACCAAAACTTCGATCCAAATCAATGTTGATATCGAGAACGGAAGCGGTTGTCCCAGGTAAGATGATCCCTCAACCAGCTCTACCTGAAATAATCAAACATTTTTCAACAAAAATGCCTCTAAGATGATACTATCTGCTTACATACTACAGAAAACGAACCTTGCCGGCATCTTGCCAGGTAACTCCGGTGAGCCACTCGACGGTGAGGGCACCGAGTGTAGCCAACATGGCCCACCTCCCATGTATCAGCTCGCATTCGCGGAACCTCTGGAGACCGAAGACTTCGCTGTAAGGCTGAAACGGTGTCGCCTTTACGTCTGCAACTTCAGTTCTGGTCCCGATGATATCACCGGCCACGTTCTTAGCAAGGTTCTGGTCCAATGAATCCAAATCATATTGTAAGTACTCTGCAGGTTTCCCCAGCCCGAAAGGGTCGAACCCGTAGTCACCGACCAAGCTTCCGTCAAGCCAGTCCGGTGCTACGGCTCCCGGGTACCACAGAGGGCGATCGGAGGTTGGCGCCTTTGACTTGGTGACTTTCTTAGCAGCTTTTTTGCCTCCGAAACCGAACCTGGCGACGACTCTTCCGGAGCCTGAGTAGACATCGGGGAGGCGGGTGCCGATGAAAGAGGATGTAGCGGCGGCAGACGCGGTGGCAGCCATTGGTCGAGTCTGAAGGAAGCTAGCGTTAAGCGAAGACAACAACGAAAGTGAATTTGTGGAGTTAAACGTCCTATATTTTCATAATAAGGGAAGTTGGTAATCAAAGGGTTCGAGATTTTATCCTAGAAGAAAGACGGAGAGCGTTGGATGAAGAAGGCGTGTCTATCTAACGGATGAGGTAGAAGGGGGCTTATCCCCGCCTTATCTGTTTGTGGGGTCCGGAGATTTGATGGTTTTGCTCTTTCGCCAATGGCATGTGCCCAAATCCCTAAGCATTTTTGTGTTATTTTATCAGTTCGATAAAGAGAGCGGAGTATTATTTTGTGGTTGAGGTTGCTGCCTATGGATTTCATCTGCAGATATTACAACTTTTGCCAAGGACCCATGATCGATTATTGCTCTAATCCTCTATCAGACATTAGATTTTACGAAAATCTTACTTAAAACGTACAAATTAAAATTTTAATTATATGTATAGTCATTTGAAATATTTGTTTTTAGTCTTTTTATAAATTGAATTGGTGGTCAGTTAATCTATAGGAAGATGTTTTTTTAAACCTCACTCCATAGCTGAACTTGACTACTTGAGTGCAATTACATAGGTCTCCGTAATTCTGTCACACAAGGAAAGTCACGTGGTATTTTTTTCGGTGTATTTTCTGAAAAATCATCGGTGATCGGTATATTTATCGATCTAATACCGGTCAGATTATATTTTCTGATCTAATACCCGTAACAGTAAAACGTGTCCCCTGAATCGCGCTATATGTTGATTTGGCGTCACGTGGGTATAACGCTCCCCCTGTACCGCGCTATATGCTGACATCGGTTACACGTGTGTATAGCACGCCCCCTGATCCGCGCTATACGCCACGTAGGGGTATAGCGCGGACCATGGGCAGCGCTATACGCCACGTAGGGTGGGTGAATTATATTTAACGCAGTCCCTGGTCCGCACTATATCTTTTATTTGTATAGCGCGGTGTAGGTACCGTGCCTTATATGGTTATAAATACCCTTCTCCGCTGGTTAAGTTTCTCACATCTCCTCGCATCTCTCCTCTCAACTTATAAATTAATACAACAATTTCGTCAACGAGTAATAATTCTGACAATCTTCTCATATTTAATTTAGAAGTTCGTGCGATTTTTCGTTATAAGGTAATTTTGTTATAATTTTTTAATTATATTTATTGTTTATTATTATTATTTGAAAAAATATTATACTAATTATTTTCAATTAATTTTTATGTTTATAAAATTGAAAAGCAGGAGCATACGTTGAAATAGTTTTGCGGTGCAGGTAATAATATAAAATTATATTATTTAAATTATTTACGTTGATGTGTAAAAAAGTTATTGTGTTATATTTTCGTTCATATATAATTTATTTAATTAGGTTTGTTTCAGTTATTTTTTTTGCAGATATAATATTGCCGCACTTTTAAACTCAAAGAATGGTGCGACTTTCAGCTATTATTTATTATGATGGTGAAATTCGAGAAGATGAAACCGACGTTGTTTTCGTATTAAATGAGCGTGTTAAAATATTATTCAAGAGAAACATATCTCTTGAGGAGCTGATAACGAAGATTTCGATGAAGATTCATGTTGGAAGTAGTAGAATAATGTCGTCGTTGCAGTACAGATTTCCAACATCATTGTTGCCATTAACTTATACAACGTTCGAACTTTCGAACAATGATGATGTTCAAATGATGGTTGAAGCTCAAAGTAATTATTCAGACGCCGCTATTGAGATGTATGCACATTTTGTTCAAGTGTGTACTGTTCGGGGTCAATCATTAAGCTCCCACTATGGGTTGGCTGAACAAGTTGATCAAGTTGACAGCCCGACTACAGTAATGTGTAATGATTTTAATGCCATAATGAGGAGACATTCATCCGCAACTCCTTACGATATGTACCGAGGTTGGTCTACGAACAATCCGTATGGCAACACCGCGTCCAGTTCAAGGGGAAGACATTCATCTGCAAATTTCTTTGACCTTAATATAGAGATGTCATCGACGCAACAATCTGTGCAGTTTCCATTTGACACGATGGCTTCAAGCTCTAGGGGGAGGCATTCGACTGTGAGCTTTTTCGATCTCAATGTCGATATGCCTTCTAGTTCAAGGGGAAGACATGTAAGTAGTAGGTTCTTCGACCTAAATGTGGAGTGCATGGAGGAACAATCATCTCCACCAGAAGAACCGCTTCGTGAGCCTGGTGCGGATGGTACTGAGACTGGACTATTCATTCACCCAGAATCACCGTAATTCAATTCTGATGATGATGATGTAGATGAAGTTCCAGGAAATGTGACACAAACTGACCCTCCTGCACACATATATGAAGCTGATTATGGTGCAATGTACGGGCCAGAATTTACGGATATACCTCATCTCGGTGACTATGGATATTACTCATCAATAAATAATGGTGAGTTTATCTTTAGGCATGGAGTTTTCAAGCAAAGAAGAAGCGATGATGGCTATAAAAAAGTACCATATCCATAATTATGTTCAGTCCAGAGTCAACCGATCGACGATCGAAAAATATGTATGCTACTGTGCCCGACGTAAAAACAGATGCAATTAGATGGTTCGCGTATCGAAAATAAAGAGGAAAAACAACATATGGGAACTAACAGTATACAACGGTCCTCACACATGTTGTGCTGGAGGGGTCAACCAAGATCATCCCAACTTGGACTCTGAAATGATATGCCAAGCCATCATGCTCATGGTAAAAGCAAGCTCTCATATAGCTGTTGCAGTGTTGATTTCAGCTATACAATCGCAGTATGGGTACACTGTCTCCTATAAAAAAGCTTGGTTGACAAAACAAAATGCCATTGTCAAACTTCATGACGAATGAAATGCATCTTACAACGAACTTTCAGGTTGGTTTAGGCTGGTGCGGACGTTGAATCCTGGGACAATTGTGGACTTCGAAACCTCTTATGCATACCATAATGATCGAGTTCTTCACGATCGAAGCCAATTATGCCGGGTTTTTTGGAGTTACCTACAGTGCGTTAATGCTGCCAAATACTGCAAGCCTTTGGTCCAGAACGACGGGACTTTCTTGTATGGAAAATACAAGCAAGTTTTATTATTGGCAGTTGTCCAAGATGGCAATCGCAACATTCTTCCAGTTGTTTTTTCTCTTGTCGAAGGAGAAGATACAGATTCTTGGGCTTTTTTCCTCCGAAATTTACGTGCACATGTTATCATGAGGGAAAACATTTGTGTCATTTCAGGTCGCGGAGCTGGGATCAAAGTAACAATAGAGTCTTTGGGCCCAATGTGGCAACCACCCTTTGTCCAACATAGGTATTGTCTCCGACACATTGTTGCGAACTATCATGGAAGGTACAAGAAGAATGATGAATGTCATTTAATTGTGCGCATGGGTAAGTGAAAGCAAGCTAGTAAGTTATACAGTTTTTGATCGTTTTAATTTTGCAAAGAAAGCAAGTTAGTAAGTTATACATTTTTTGATCAGGTTACGAACTACTTCCTCGAACGTTTGAATCAATGCTTCAAGATTTGCGGGCGAAGAACGAGGAATGATACGATTACATCAGCCTCATCGATAAAGAAATGTGGACAAACACATATGATGGTGGATATCGATATGGACACATGACGACCAACTTGGCTGAGGCAATCAATTCAACCTTAAAGGGTGCATGTCACTTACCTGTAGCGGCTTTGGTAAAAACTATATATTTTTGTTTGGGGGAGCTTTTTGCGAAGCTCGGGGGACAAGCTCAAACCTGGATGCAAGGCGGTCATGTCTATCACCCTAGATTAGTTGCAGATCTACAGAAAAAAATTGTTGCATCAAATGGAATGTATGTAACAAACTTCTCTAGAAGACATGGAATGTTTCGTGTCACAGAGTTGCCGCGACCTCTTCAAGGGATTGAAGTTGTGTCGTTAAGAGTAAATCTAAGGGACAGAACGTGCAACTGCGAGTTTTTTCAAGCTCTGAAGTATCCATGCTCTCATATGATAGCAGCTTGCTCGCATACACGTCAAGACTATAACCATTTTTTGGATCCCGTATACCTACTATCTGAAGTTTTTAAGGTATACGAATTTGAGTTTCCCCCATAGGTAATGACAAAGACCCTGAGGAGGTTCAAGATTGGCTTCCGATTGTACCAAATCCGAGTTTATTGAGGGAGCGTGGTCGTCCAAAATCCAATCGAATTCATTGTGATATGGATATTCGAAAAAGATCTAGACAAGACAGAAGATGTGGACAATGTAGAAACCCAGGAAAAACTAGAAAAACATGTCCACTTCTGTTGTCATCAAGTAACAATTGATGAGGAAATGATGTATTTGTTTATCAAATAATAATTCTTGTATTTTAATTTGCATTTACTTCAAGTTAATGTCATTCGATAATCGCTGATGAATATTAAAAAAAACGAACACAATCATTAAATTTTATCAAACTAATAACAATTTGGTATTTAAATACAACAAACTTACAATAAGAATTAAATGGTAAATGATAACCAAATTACAATAACTGATATTAAATGGTAATAAACAAAATTAACTGAAATATATTAAAAAAAAGTCCAACAAATTTAACAAAATAAAGTAAGTATTAAATGAGAAATAATAAAAAATTACAATTAAACAAAATAAAGTAAATACAAATATAATAAAAAAAATCTATCAATGTATGCGTCGCGAATGTGTTCCGCGGGGCGGTGGATGTCGGTCTCGAGGAGGATTTCTTCGTATCACTGGTTCTGACTCCTCGCTGTCATCATCGTCGTCATCGTCGTCGTCGTCGTCATCGTCGTCCTTAGCAGGTACATTAGGTTGATGAGGAGCTGATGAAGATGAAGCACCTCCATAGAATAAGGACCCTGGAGGTGTATGACTGACTATCTCACCGACCTGTGAAAACTGGGAAAACCCAGACATCGCTGAGTGTGAAAACTGTACATGAGGTGTATGTGCTGTGGCCATGGGTGATGAGGCTGAACCCGCCAAATATCCAGTATATGAACCCAAAGTCGGATC